GATTTGCGTTCATGAAAATCTTCTCGTTTGCCCAAAGGGAAATTCGATTTGGTTTGCACAATTTCATAATTCAGGCTCTGCGTATATGCCAAGTTTTGTTTGCTATTAATTTTTTAATTTACTTTCAATGACCTGAGACTAAAGGGGACCAGAACAACATAATCATTTATGTTCATGTAAAATAAATAAACTCTTATTCACTAAGCCGTTTAATTAGCTGACCATTCTTTCTATGTAGGTGTTTGTTTACATACCAACATTCTCTAGTTAAATGTACGGCTTCTGTTTCCCTTCATTTAACCTGCTTTAACAAGCTAGACAACTCGGTATGATGGTGCTATAACCGTGAATCATGGCCATCTGCTGAGCTACACAACTTGGTAAGTTAAAGTAATATATTTTGCGCACAGAAATCAAAGCCAGAAAAGTGAAAGGATACATTTTCTCCACCGATTTATTATGCACAAAGCAGGATTGGTTTTTGGTCAAAGACAAGATGGTGGACAACAGGCAGCTGAATGGCGTCTTTGTGTTTGTCCCAAAAGTCATATACATTTCGTGAAGACATCGATAAATCTTAGCTATAAGGTCATTTAACGCCATACATGTAACTCTAACTTCAAACTTCAAATACACAACTTGCTGGTAACAGTAGATGAACACATGGAGACGTGACGAACACATGGAGACGCGACGAGAATGGACATGATGTCATTGATTGCCCTTGAAGAATTTTTTTGGGGGGCCAAATTGGTGTCCCCCTATAGATTGATAGATACACAGGTCTCAAATTTTTATGCATTACGCGATTAGAACTGCGTTCTGTCGAACGCAATAAAAGTACATTTAAAGTTAGCATTCTGATATGGGACACACTGCTTATACTATGAATAATGCTGATCAATCTTTTGTGGCATTACAATTGCTATAACTACTGGTTCTCAAACTAGACATGATGGCAGTACCATTGGAGGGCCTCTAAACAGAATTTTGCTAGGTTACAGATAGCTCAGTGGTCGGCTCCAGGACACAATACAGTAACTCTGACTGACACCCACTTATCAGTCATTTTATTAAAATCCCAGAGTGATGCAATTAATTAAGTTTATATACAATATATGCAGTGCAACTACAGTGTACATGGTAGACTCACCAAAAAATATGCCAGAAATGGCAAAAACACCTGAACCAGCAGACAGAGTAAAGACAACTGGGTGCTGTCTCCTCATCATCCCATAAGTGAAGCCAATACTTGCACCAGCCAAACCTGGGAAAGGAAATAGTGGTTATTTCAATCTACAATGTAGGTCCAGGGGTGACGTGACAGACATCGGTTATACCACGCATAACATTGTAGGTAAATATGGGCATGAAACCCTGATATCACATGAAATTCCAAGGTAACCTGCGATCATACCCTCCCTCCCTTATATTCAGTCCAAAAACAAAAAAAAAAGCCTGATCGCAGGTTAATTCCAAGGGTACTCAGCCATCAATCATACATGTAATTACAGAGAAAAAAAGACATAAATCAACATACCGGAAACGGCAGCATAACCAAGCAACCTTTGAGCTCTTTCTGAATCACGGCGTACTGTGTTCAGTAAAAGACTACCCCCAGATCCAATGACAACTTGAATTTAACGAAAGAAAATCGATCGATCAACACAAATTGAAGCTGATCTAGATGATAGTTCATAGGGATTCCTGATTTCTCTTCCTACCTGCCCAGGCCACATTCTTGGCGAACTGACTTATTCTTTGACCGTTAAAAGTCATGTTCCTCGTTTAAATTCAACTTAACCTGAAAATATCTTTTCGACGATCTTTCCCATGATCTTCGATTTCGCCGCCATGTTTCAATTGAGCCTCCATAATCATGAGCGGCGGTTTTCGAACTGCACTATGTAAGGTTCACCAGTATATCCACTTAAGTGAGAGGGACAAAATGGCGGCAGTTTCTGATGGGAATGACAAATCGTTGGAAGATGTTGATTATGACTTGCAAAGACATTTAAAAGGAGTCAACACACGGACGCCTGACCTTTCTACATTGGCGCAAAAGGGAGATGAAAAGGTAATGTTAGTTTAATTTCTGGATGCGCGAAATAATGCTGAAGAATCAAGTCTTAATCAACAACAACAACAACAACATGAAAAACTTATATTTCACCCCAGAGTTAGAAATTTCTTTTGCTTGCCTGAGTAATCTAAAGCTTTCAGATCACTGTAAGCTTATTTCTGAGTACTTTCAAAGTTAACGTAAGCTTGAGCTCTGGAATACGTTTAAGCTTACATGTACAGGAAAGGACAGACAAGGTACTCAAAGAAAGTGTTTATGACAATTTTAAAATATATTTTTACTGTGGCGTTATTAATAAGTTCTCCCGCTTCTTCAGCTTGTTGAACAGTTTCTGACCGAAGATGTCCAAATCGGCGGAGGAGTGGATGAAAAGCTTCAAAGTCAGTTATATATCGGTAGGTATCAGGGACATTGGTGAGATTACATAATTATATGTAGTAATCTATATGTACAATTGTATTGATAAACTCGCGAATTTTCTTCTTTGGCAATATCACAGAAAGACTGGGCTGTGTAGTGACCAGTGGTGGTTTTAAGACTTAAAAGCAGCAGCAGCAGCCGCAACCACAACAGCAACAATACCAACAGTAACAACCAAAAAAAACAACAACAACAACAACAACAATAGCAACATCTTTATTTCTCAATACAAATATATTTACAGTTATGTAAGCTCAGAGTATTTAAGTTCAGGACAGGTTGTTCAAATAATGTATTTACCTCATTCTAATCTCGATCGAGGCCAAATGAGCTGATTCTTAGGGAATTAAATGAAATGGGCATTGGATGGTTTTCAGTAGGGTTAGCCTCCATCCTAGTTATGTCTAACAATGTAATTGGAGGACAGGAGAGATCAAGGCTCATTGGTGACTATTATTCAGCTTTGCTTCCTCTATATTATGATATACCAAAAATTGTTGGTCAACTGGGATATTTTCATTCATTCATTATCTTATTCCTGGCCAAAACCCTCAGGCGCTAAAACTTTTAGTGTTTTTATTGCTGTATTTTCATCCCCAGGCTTGAAAAGTGTTGGAATACACCTCCTTGGGGTGATTCATCTTTAGTTAAGCTATGAAATTGACTTGCCATATTACTTCTACAGCTACATTGTATATATAATACTGTACA